AGGTATCTGTTCCATTTGGCTGCTCCTGAGTTGTATCCTTTGCACCAAACCTGCTGGTTTGTGTTTTCCTGAGTTCTGTGAGTCATCCAAGTGAATCATCAAACTTAAGGAGGGGATTAGGGAAACCCTTGGATTGATAGATAACCAAGTCAGACAGAAGAGTGGGTTGTCGGGGTCCAAGGACTTATAACTGGTGTCTGAAGTGGGGGCAGCCTTGTGGGACTGAGCCCTTAAACCTGTTGGGAGTCTCACACTGACTCGAGGTAGTTAGTGTCAAAATAGGACTGCATGGTAGGGCACCCACATGGTGTCAGAAAAAAGACATCTCACCATGTTTACTCTGAATGTAAACCAGACATTTTTCTGCTCCAGCAGAGGAGCAAATAGAAATCAGTGATTTTGACCAGGAGCCATATCCAAGTTGCAAACATGGAGCACTGATTTAACACCAAGGTGAACGTGGACTTTTTACGGGAAACATAGATGCCAGAAGAGCTTTCAAAACTGACCTGTTTCTCTGCTCATGCTCTTGCTGGATGCTTCACTCCTCCCACACCTTCTTCCAGGGAAGAGATAAGCAACGTCAGCTGACTGGAATGTTTCAAAAGGCCTGCTCTGGGCTGGGCAGATAGGCATGGCGGCCCTTCATTGGCATGGGAGCCAGAGGCTGTGGGTGTAGTGTCGTCTTTTCTTCTTTTCTTTCTCCAATGGACAGAATATAAATGGTCCATTATCAGCCCAATATCACAAGGTTGATTTGGAAAAGAATTTGTTTCCGTTCGTTGTTGTCTTCTCCCTGTGCAATTCCGTGTTTGGCCTACATATTTCTACCTGGACCCCTGGGCCTTTTGGAAAAATTCCTTTTGACTTTTATAGTGGGACTTAAATGTTAGGAGATGTCAGTGACCTTGTAACACTCACTGTTTTGTTTCCTTGGAACCAAAGTGGTATAAATAAAGCTCACTTCATGGGTTGTTTTGTTTCAATTTAAGATAATATTCCAAGGCCAAAGGCATCCTCTTTTAAAATTACCGGTAAAAAAAAAAAAAAAAAAAAAAAAAAGTCTTTCTTTATAAGAGTTCACCCTTACATTTATATGCCATTTTAATGATTCCAAAGTACTTCCACAATATTTATTTTACCACCACTATCAACCCTTGGGGCCTCTATGATTGTCCATATTATAAAGGCGAGGACTAGAGGCCTGAGTTGGATGAGTTGATTTGCTTAAGGCCATACACATGGTGGTGGAGGCAGGCCGGGGACTCGAAGTGCACATTTTCCACACTGCCTCCATGGAAAACCAGCCCCTGCCTCTAATTCGTGCTTGTGGGGGAGGAATGGAGAGGTGAGGCTTCACTTGATGAGCAACAGGGCCCCAGGGTTGAGGGAAGAGGAGATATAAAAATAAATAAAAATTGGATGGTTTGCATTCACCTAACTCGACTCCAGAACATTTACGGGGCAACACATCAGCAGGACGAGCAATCACTCTCTATCCCAGAATTGACTATTGTAGCAATGCCTGCTGCTGACTGAGGAGGAGAAAACTTCTGTAAAAATGCCCAAGATCTGGGAGCATGGACACCAGTAACATGTAGGTAGAAACAGAGCTAAAAGCTTTAAAAATCGCTTCTCACAGCACTAGTCCCAACTGGATCTGAATCCATGACACAGGCAGCATGAGCTGGAGTTGATGGGGGGGCCCATACCTGACTTGTCAGGTTGAATGAGTGCCCACAGTGAGCTACAGGGTGAAGCATCCTTTCTTCATAGTCCATCTCTCAAGTGAGAGATGATCACAGACTATGTGACCCAATCTGCCCAACCTTTTGGAGTCAAGCCCTCGCATTCCTGGGAAGGACATAGCAAGAGCCAGTAAGACAGCAAGAGAAGCCGGATAGCATTTGCTCCCATCACATTCTATGGCCAGGCCTCCCGAACCCTCCCTGTGATATTATTTTGACTTTATAATAACAACAATAACAAAAAAAATCAGGAGGGTTTGATATGTTTTTTGTGGTTTTTTTTTTTTTTTTAGATTTTATTTATTTAAGAGAGAGAGAGCATGAGAAGGGGGAGGGTCAGAGGGAGAAGCAGACTCCCTGCCGAGCAGGGAGCCTGATGCGGGACTCGATCCCGGGTCTCCAGGATCATGACCTGAGCCGAAGACAGTCGCTTAACCAACTGAGCCACCCAGGCGCCCGAGGGTTTGATATGTTTTAAAAAGGGTTCTCTGACTGCCGTTTGGAAATGGGACCAAGGAGGGCAAGTGAGGAAGACATTTCGGTTGTCTTCCCCAAAGATTCAGCAGGCTTCACCCAAGACAGGGATGCAGAAGGGGCTAGTTTAAGACAAGAATGGGTAAATTTGAGGGAATAGAAAGAAAGAAGGTTTGGGGGCAGGTGCCTGAGCTCTTGATGTTGCTACCAACACTCAGAGATCCAAGAAATGCGAGTTTGGTGTAGGTGTGAGCAGAAATGGTGGATTTAGTTTGGGACGTGCTGAGTGTGAGTTGCTTCCACACATCTCAGTGGATAGCCAGGAAGGTGTTCAGGAGATGATTTTGAGGCTCAGAGCTAGAAAGCAGGGCTTACCCTGTAGCTTTGGGGATCACCCACATAGAGGTGGTGGATGACCTTTTAGAGTAGAGGGTATCACTTGAGGAATGCCTGTGCGTGACCAGAGAAGCTACTGGCCAAGGACTGAATCCTGGTGAACCCCAGTTCTTAAGGGATGGGTTTGTATTAGGACCCTTGCATGGTTCCCAGTTACCTTTTTACCTTCAATTAAAATCAGTGCTTTTGTTACTATGTTTGACCCAATGACCTTCTTTTCTTTCTGTGACCCACTTTTACGCTCTTTTTAGCAAGACTGATTTATGAGTAGCCAATCATAGACCATTCATTGCTCTCTTTCTAAGAAAATCTATACTGTTTGTCTTTGAATTCATGTTTTTCCTGGTGCTGTCACCATTTTCTTTTAAATCCCTGTTCAATTCTTGCCACTCCAGAGGAGTGTTTTCAGATTAAGCGTACCCCAGCTCCAGCTGCAATTAATCAACTCAGAAGACAGTAGGGTGTTGGAAGTGGAAGGTCTATCGATCATTTGGCTTTCCCTCCAATGTGACAAGTAAGGAAACTTAGGTCAGATGAGGCAAGTGACTCATTCAATGTTACACTGTCAGATCGGTAGAAGGTAGGGAGTAAAAATTGAGTCTCCTGAGACCTAGTCAGGGGTTCTTTCTGTTAAGCCATGCTGCCTTGTGGTTTTGATTCTTCCCTCTGTCACTGTGAGGTGACTTTCCTTCATTTGAACATCCAGTCTCATTCCTGCATTCCCTCATCCTTCTCCAGTCTCGCCCTACACAGAGGCAGAGCAGTGATTTCTCTTATTAAATTAGCTCTCATTTGATATGGATCATTACCTCTACCCTCTTGTGCCTTGGATGGTCATTTCCACCCCACATATCCAGAGCCCAGGGAAGTAACAAGGCAATCCTACAAAAATGAGTTCATAATTATGAGAGTCTCAAGAATTGATTGACTGATTGATTGATTGATGAGTGTTAAGTGCCCAGTAAGTATGTCTGCTATCACTAATGGAAAGGGTTATGATTGCTCTTCTTTAATTACTTCCTAACACACACACCATCTCCCTCTACCCCCCGCCTGCCATCTGCGCCTCCCCCCAGCCCTCCTTCACATTAGGCTATCCTTGATGCCTTCTGCTAGATTGGCCTCTTAATAAAAGATTAATAAGAGGCTCAAGTATGGGCGCCTGGGTGGCTCAGTTGGTTAAGCGACTGCCTTTGGCTCAGGTCATGATCCTGGAGTCCCGGGATCGAGTCCCGCATCGGGCTCCCTGCTCAGCAGGGAGTCTGCTTCTCCCTCTGGCCCTCCCCCCTCTCGTGTGCTCTCTCTCATTCTCTCTCTCTCAAATAAATAAATAAAATCTTAAAAAATTTAAAAAAAAAGAGGCTCAAGTACTTTTCAAACCCATATAACGTTATTGGTGAGTTTTGTAAACATGTGGGTGCTTCAATGGTTATTTTAGGGAGAAAAAAATGATCTCATGTGTATTTACCTAGATAGTCAATAGAAGATTTTTGAATGTGTTAGCTTCATATGTGGCTATTCCTCTAGAGGAAAAGAAGATCTATGCCTTTTCCGGACAAATTAATAGGATCATATTCTCTCACGCAGCCAGATCCTTCTAATTCAAGGTAACAAACAAAATTGATAATTAAATAGTATTTATTATAATCTAGGAATTATGGGTAAAGCAAATTTGACATAGTAAACATATTTTTTATGTGTCCGTATGCCTTCCAGTACATCGGGGCCCACTGTATATTAGATTTGTGTAATCCATTTATGTTCATTTTAAAGCAGTCAGAACAGCTTTTGTTTTACATGATTATAGGGTTTTTTGTGATAAAACATACATATCATAAAATGTATCATCTTAACCATTTTTAAATGTACAGTTCTGTGACATTAAGTTCATGCACACTGTTCTGCAACTATGGATTTTAAAACATGGCCTTTGCTTGGGTGACATTGGCGATATCTGACTTGCCTGCAGCATGGAGCTTGACTGGGAAGACACGTACTGCATCAGAAAGTGGGCTAACTTAGTTTTGCATCAGCTTGTATTGTTTTGGTCTCACAACACTGTCTTCCCTCTGGGCCATATATTAAATAATTGAGGTAAGTTACGTTTATATTTCACAACACTTTCTAGTGTCTAGAGTCATGTGATATATTGCAAAACCTGGCATGGAAATCACTCATTTAGGTGGAGAAGGAAACCCCCTGACAACCAATCTGGTTTCTCTTTACAGGCTAATACTTTAAAGCCAACCTTTAAAGGATTAATTTTAGATAAAGCTGCTACTCTGTTAATAAATTACCATTATTGAGTGCTTACTTTGTACCTACTGCTGTGCTAAGCATTTGATTTATGGTTACCTCATTTAATTCTTTTTTTTTTTAAAGATTTGTTTATTTATTGAAGAGAGAGAGAGAGAGAGAGCATGAGCAGCGGGGAGGGCCGGAAGCAGCCTCCCTGCTGAGCAGGAAGCCCGATGTAGGGCTCGATCCCAGGACCCTGGGATCATGACCTGACCTGAAGGCAGCCGCTTAACCGACTGAGCCACCCAGGTGCCTCCATCTAATTTAATTCTTTTTTTTTTTTAATTTATTCATTTGAGACAGAGAGATAGAGAGAGAGCATGAGCAGGGCAAGGTGCAGAGGCAGAGGGAGAAGCAGGCTCTCCGCTGAGCAGGGAGCCGGATATGGGTCTCAATCCCAGGACCCTGGGATCATGACTTGAGCTGAAGGCAGAGGCTTAACCATCTGAGCCACCCAGGCACCCTCCACCTCATTTAATTCTTAAAATAACTGCATTGTCCCTGTTTTACAGATGAAACAATTGATACTTAGCTTATCTAACATCGAGCAGGTGGTAAATGACAAAGTTAGAGTTCCATCAGACCTTAACCATTTTGCTGCGTTCCCTTCCAGATTTCTCAAACATTCATAAGAGTTTTATAAGGAGAACTAGGCCTAACAATGTAACTAACATATTAAAAGTATCTGACATACTGAAGGCATGTGATACTTCTTTATTAAGTCATTCAGAAAGAATGTTGTATGTAGGGGATATGGTATTAATTTATTTTAACCACATTTTAATAGGAAAGCCAAGAAGAAAAGCCTTGTAAAATATCATTTAAATACAGATTAAACCTCAGTTATTCCTCTTGTCATCATGTTACTGCGGCGTGTTTCTCTGTAAGAGGCCGTGCTTGCAGGATGCTCCCTTGCTCTGGCTATCTCGCATGTCCATCTTAATTATATAATAGAGGCAGGCAGGATGGAGGGAGCATTTGTTGATTCTGTTTCACGAGATGGAATACTGAGTAATGAGCTAGGAAACCTATATAGATCTGATTTTTAGATTATGTCTTTTGGTTCCTCTAAAAGATAGATTGTAGTTTGTTTTTTTTTTAAAGAGAGATGCCATGTTCTATATAAAACTCCTTTTTATATAGTTCACTGGAGAGGCGGTGTAGCAGATGGCTCATACTCCTGGTTGGTGTGAATTCAGGGTTCGCTTTGTGAGCTTGAGCAAGTTTAATTTTTCCAGTCCTCAACGTTCTCACCTTTAGAGCTGAGATCATAATACCTACCTCACTAAATACACAGTAAATGTTAGCCTTCCCTTTTCCATCTCCTTCTACCTTTTTAATTCAGCACATAGTTATTACTAAGAATGTTTTGTGTGTTAGGTCCTGTCCAGCTGTCCCGTACTCTGTATTCTTCTAAGAGCTCGAAGGGAGAGGCAGGAAGGCATCTAACCAGCTCTTTGTGATGCAGATTAATATCAGTATAATAGAACTATCAGCACTCCCTAAATGCTGAAGAAGCATGAAGTATGGAGCAACTACTGATTTGGGGGGTAGAGTGGGTAGCAGCGTTCATTTTAAACATCTTTTGTGTTTAACGGTCCTTTAATACTTCATGAACATTAAACCTTTATATTTTTGGGTCAGAAGTTAACTCGACCTAAACACTAGGCTGATTTTCAGTGCATGGCAATTTGGTATTTGTCATTGGGTTAAGAAAATGTTCTACTGGATATAGCGTTCTTTATAGTGATCACTCTCAGAAGTTACTGATTATAGGAGACTGAAACCATCCAGAGGCACAAAATATTTTCAGCTTGCTCATAGCTCACAGTAGCTGTAGAATTACAAAACTTATGGAGCACCTAATATCTGGCGGGACCCTGAGGAGACAAGAAATGTCCTTGCCTTCCCCGAGCCCATGGTCTTGGGGGAAGGTGGAGAGGGAAAGGGCTCACAGAACAGCATGATACACACCATCCTTGTTGGGGTGAAAACTTGATACTTCCCCTGGTCTTGGCATGATTCCTGTTGCAATGTACTTTTAGCTTGTACGAAAGAATTGTGAAATCATAATTTGATAAGATATTAAGGTCATTTAGGAATGCTGTGGCATTTATCCAGCGATCCATCACTGATTCAAAATGACTCACCGTCATTAGAATGCAGCCAGTCATGCTAAATTTGACAGCAGTTCTCCGTTCAGATTTCTGAGATGTCATGTTTGGTGGCTACGTTGAAAAGTATGAGTTTTTCTCCTTTCTTCCTGAGGGGTGAAGGCTTTGCCTCTGCTTCTGAATCTCTGCACCTCTCATGGGGTGATGGAAATGCCAGAGGTTCTGTCCCCCCTGCTCTGCTTTCCCGCCTTCCCAGACCCATTGTGTGTGTGCACCAGTTGTGTTTACAGATCATTCAGAGAGCCAGGCCTTCCTCCTCTGTACCCTTGGTTCCGAACTGGGTGGTAAAACCTGATCTAGTATTACTGGTTCACTCAGTAATTATTTACTAAATATTTATGGTAGGTATAGGGGCAGGATTGAGATCTGGGGGTCCAAGAGATAGGCTAATAATTTGTTACCCTGGGCAGGCTGATGATTTGATGCCACTTCAGACTGTTGTCCTTTAAATATTTGTTCACAACATTTTTAAGAGGAAAAACCAAGCCCTAGATGAGAGGGAAGGGGGTAGCCAAATCCCTCAAATCCCCCTCCTGCCAGTTTCTAGGATCTCAACTGACCAGAAGAAAAATAGCAGACCCCTTCTTTTTCCTTCCAACCATATTCTCTACAATCCCCGAGAATAGTTCTGGTGGATACTATTTTTGTTTCATTTAGTTAAGTTTCCAGAGATGTTTTCAGCACCCCATGGATGTCTGTACATGGAAACTGTCGTAACATCCAGGCTTTTAATCTAGCCCTGGAAAGAGACACTGGGATAGATCCCAGAAATGTAGATAAATAAGATGCTGCCTCAGCGCTCAAGGAACTTGGGGCAATAGCTTATTATATACTATAAAACAGTGTGAGAGAACTGTTAATGTGGTAGGAACACAGATGGAGGAGCAGTGAATTCAGGCTGTGGAGATCAAGGTGGCTCATGGAGGTGATGCCATGGTGGGACCGACGGTGAAATGAAATGTCCCTCCTTTGAGTACATCTGGTATTCCTAGTTTGAACTTTTCAAACTGATGAAATAGGCTACTTTAACTTTATATAACCTAAAGCCTTAAACTTACGGAATTGCTCAAGGCAGGATGAGTAAGTGTGATATTGCAGTGATTCTTGCCTATCTGACTTACAGAATGAGATCAAGTTACTAGGCAAAGATTCTTGATTTCTGGCTAACCCTTAAAGGGAAGGATTTTATTTAACCATCACTAAGACACAAATTCACGCCAATGGAGAGCCATTCTCAGATTCCAGAGCTTTAGAGCAGTTCTTTGCTCAACTACAAAGGAGTTTGTTTTGTCAATCTCCCCTATCTCTACTGACCAGAAGGAAATAAGAGCATCCAGACTTCTCAATTTTCAAAGCAAAAGGAGGGGGGGCCTCTTGTTTTTCTATCATAGTTGATTGTCCCCTATTGTTCTTTAATCCACAGTCACTTGAAAGTATTCCCTTGTATGTCCTTCGCTGGGAACCTTTTGAAGGGAGCTCTTCTTTGAGAAAGGGAATTCTTAGTGTTATGTTTGTCATCTCCGAATCTTCCAGAATAGAATTTTTAAGATGCTCTTGGAATTGACTTTTTAAGTGAAAATGAACATGCCCTGTGTCCTGCCAGTGGGGAGAGAAAATATTTTAGAGGGGGTAGGTAATGCCAGTTTCATAACACTCATTAGCCTCGCAAGCTGGAGAAGCCACGGACGCCACAGCCTGTCAGCCGCTGGGTCCAGCCGTGTTACCCTGGCGGTCGAGTCCTGGGTTTGCCTGCCTCGCGTGGACTGTTTATTCTATCCTAACAAGCCTTGTCATTTAGTATTTTCACCTTTCATTTTTCTAACTTGTACTTTTATTTGCAGCTGAGGAGAAAGGAAGGTGATAACTTGTGCTATCGTTTCTAAAATTAGTTTTGAGCCATTTGGTTTTAGCCTGGATAAAGAAACTGAGCTACATTTTGTTGTTTTTTTACTTGGCAGCAATGGCTTCACTCTGAGATGACAAGTTGTCATTAGGAGGGAGCTTTCATTACACTTATATCTTCTCAGCAAAATATTCCTCTGGCATAGGTAAATATTAAGTAGAAAAGAAGAATGAGGGGCGCCTGGGTGGCTCAGTCGGTTAAGCGTCTGCCTTCGGCTCAGGTAGGATCCCCAGGTCCTGGGATCGAGTCCCACGTTGGGCTCCCTGCTCCGTGGGGAGCCTGCTTCTCCCTCTCTCTCCCTCCCTCCGCTGCTCCCCCTGCTTGTGCTCACTCTCTCTCTGTCAGATAAATAAATAAAATATTTTTTTAAAAAAAGAAAAAGAAGAACAAAGCTTGTTAGTAAAGCATGTTGAAAAGCATTCAACTGAACCCCATCAAAGAAATGCAAAATAAACAATAAGATAATTTGGGATGGAATTAGCCAAGTTTTTTTTTTGTTTTTATTATTTAATGATGATTCCCATATCTGGTAAGGGTACTACTCATATACTGTTTATTGAAAAGAAAATTAGTATAACCTTTTTAAGAAATAATTTGTTGTTATATATCAGAGACCTTAAAATGTTTATGTCCTCTGGCCCATTACTCTCGCTTTTAGAGATCTTTGCAAAGGAAATCATATGAACAAGAGTACAGGGATATTTACACTATTATTAGTAATAAAAAGGGAAATCTAGGATTCAATAGGGAAATAATTTTATAAACTATGACATATCTATGTATGAACTATTATGCTTCCATCAAAAATGGTGTTTAGAAGGGTGCTTGGCTGGCTCAGTCAGTGGGGCATGCAACTCTTGATCCTGGGGTTATGAGTTGGGTGTGGAGATTACTTAAAAATACAATCCTTTAAAAAAAAAATGTTCTTTAGAGAATCTGTAACAACATTAAGAAAGCGTATCATAAATAATAAGAGGCAAAAAATATTGTGCCACTGAAGTTTACAGCAGTATAATTGTGTCAAATAGCAGGACAGCAAATAACAACAAAAAAAACCCCAAAACAGCAACAATAAAAACTGGAAAGAGAAACTATCCCAAATGCCCCCCCCATGTTTCCCCCCCTTTTTTATATAAGAAACACAAATATTTTCAATGGGATTTTCAATTATTTATAAAATGAGTGGTACCTGAGATATAATGCTTATCTCATTCTTAATTAAAAATTGAATGCTCAGGGCGCCTGGGTGGCTCAGATGGTTAAGCATCTGCCTTCGGCTCAGGTCATGATCCCAGAGTCCTGGGATCGAGTCCTGCATTGGGCTCCCTGCTAGGCGGGGAGCCTGCTTCTCCCTCTGCCTCTGCCTCTCTGACCCTCATGAATAAATAAATAAAACATTTAAATAAATAAATAAATAAATAAATAAATAAATAAATAAAATAAAAATTGAATGTTCATATTTTATGCCTTATAAATTGCTGTGATGATGACATTAAATGTGACAGTGATTTGTGTCTCTCCCTGGGTATTAGTTGACAGCCTTTGCAGGAGATCAGAAGGTGACCTCTGTAATAACACTCACTTTTTAAGTTGTATGTTTCATAAAGTTGTTATAGATTTTGGAAATCTTAGAACCACGTAAGTGGATAACCTGTCTTGCAGTCCTGTGATGAGTAAAGTGTAACAATATGTTTATGATTTCTCTTTAGGAATTTTTCAAATAGAAACTAATTGCAGAGTTCCCGGTTGACCAGCATTCATAGGGTAAGATTAACATTCTGAATTGTGAACATGTGGTAAAGATAATTACTATTACATTGGTAGCTTGGGGCAAATACTGAATCCTTAGGATGTAAAAAGAGATTATTATTCCTACAGACCTTTTGCATAAAATCCTTTTGATATATCTAAACCAGTTAAAAAGAAAATTAAATCTGAATACATTTTGGTAAAATGTCCTCTTCCTGTCCTTTGTTGGTCTTGTATGTTGCAGAGTATATGTCTGTGTGCGTTTGATATTTGTCATTTTTTTAAACCTTAAAGATCTGAGGAATATAATGTCTATGACAGACTTAGACTCCATGACTCCATGTCTATATTTTTCTGACTTCTGTTGAAGGTAGTGTTTTTTATGCAGGGAATTGGTTTGCCATGTTTCCATAAATAAACAATGGCCATGCTTTCCCAGATTACATAAGTCAGAAATAAACAAGCCCTGTATCTGTTGCTTTCTACAAACATCATTTATCTTTTATAGTTGTGGAAGATTAATCTTAAATTAGTTCTGTGGCAGAGCTTCTGACTTTGACATAATGAGCAATTAATTTGTACACCGTATTAACTAGCATGACTCTCTAGTATTGTGAATACGACAAATGTCTTGAAGAGTGTGTTGCCCAGCTCTGAACATATATAATCCAGGTGAAGCCATGGTGAGGACATTGGGTCTGTCCTCTGTGTATTGTGAACACCCTTCTTTTACAGATGAAAGTATAGATCCTTGACTTCTTGAGTATATGGACATATCCCTGCTGATTCATTGAGCTGACTATGAATTTGTAGAAGCTAGTATCAGGGGTGCCTGGGTGGTGCAGTCGGTTAAATGTCCAGCTCTTGGTTTTGGCTCAGGGTTTGATCTCACGGTTATGAGATCGAGCCCTGCATGGACCTATGCACCCCGTATTGACCTCCGCACTCTGTGCGGAGTCTGCTTAAGTTTGTCTCTCTATCTCCCTCTGCCCCTCCCCTCCTCTCTCTAAAAAGTAAATTAAAAAAAAAACTAATATCATATCAGCTGCTTCTCTACTTGTGGCTCTTCAGTGGCTTTTCCATTCCTCCTGAACTATTTATTATCCAAACTCTGTATATTGGCTGCAGGCCCTCTCATTCTTCTGCTTTCCCCAGGCTCCTAACATCCCAGCTGAGTCGCCTCCCTTCTGATCTGCACCTATTCTAAGCTTCTTGCTCCTTCTACTTGGAATGAGCTTCCCCAATATCATTGCATGGCTGACTCTGTTCAGATCTAAAGAGGCTTTCCCTGACTGCCCAATCTAAAGGAGCTCTCTGTTCTTCATGGCATTTCTGATTTTATCGTGTTTATATATTTGGTTTTCTCTCTTTCCTTCTTCCTCAGTAAGGTCCCTGAGAGCAAGCATCTTTCTGTCTTGCACATCTATATTTCCTGAACACTTTGACCTCTACCAGGTGTGTGGTAGTTATCCTACAGACTAAAATCCTGACCTCTCTTTGAGAAGTGCTACTGTTCAGGGATGCTCCATGCATTCTCTTGGGATATTTTCTTTGTATAGAATCAAATGTGATACTTATTAGGTTTAACCATCATGCCACCCATTAGGCCCTTGTGACAGCATGGCATACTGATCCTTTCAACTATGCATGTCTTCTCTCTACAATAAGATTGTAAATCTCATGAAAGTAGAAACAAGGTCTCATATTGCCTCGGTATGCCTTTGTAGTCCTAGCCTCCCTAACTGAGTGCATTTAAATGTTAACTTTAGAGAAAGGTTAAAACGAGTGGCTTAACCATATTTTTAGTATTTCTAGAGTACACTGGTTTGTCCCAAAGCTAAAAAAAAAATCTCATTTTGATTTATATTTATAGTTTTAAAATTGTAACATAGTAATATTCTGGACTACATTTGTAAATTCATGTTTCAAAACTGTTTATTTCATTAAGAAGGCCTATTATTAATTAGGCTAGGTCGCCAGAATCAATGCTATCAATTTCCCAGTTCTTTTCAAATTAGGAAATTTGCCCATAATTCCATGCCCTAGAGAAGTAACTTAAACATCTCTACACTTTAGTTTTCTTACTTGTAGAATTAGAGTCTAATCGCCATGGTTTCTTCCTAGATTAGATAGCCCATATGATTCTGCTTTTGTAAAAGGTAGGTCACCTATGGGAGAAGTAGGAGAAGCAAATGGAATGATGATCTCTGCTATCAGCCAGACATTTGAAAGGAGAACATGTAGATTCACAAACACAGGAACTGAGTTTGGATCTACTTGATGGCTTGCTTACTGTGGATGGTGGGAGGGCAAGTCAAGAAAACATTTTTTTAAACAATGAAGATGGTGGAGAAGGGTCCAAGGTTGCCTTCTGCTTACATATTCTAATAATCATGTAGCCACTGGTAGCTTATGTGCCAGTGTTAATATTATAATGTGACTGCAACTTCCTTCATTTTAAATGTATTCTAGACAATTCAGTAGCTTACTAAACGCCTCAAAGAACTGAGAAGCCTTTTCCTAGAAAGACAGTTACCATCTGCATTAGATAAATCATGTGTTCCATAACTGTCAGAAACAAGGAAAAGTAAAGCAATGTTTGTTTGTTTTTTTTAAAGTTCAGAACAACTCAGATTTAATTAGGATTTCTAGAGTTATTCCTGTGGTGTTAATTGTCATATTCAGTAACTGTCTTCTGGGGCTTCAGATGATTAATTTTCCTAATATTTAGAATATTATTTATAATTGTTTTGGAAACCCATTACCGCTGTATGGCTCTGGCTAAGAAACTGCCAAATGGTAGTTACACACCACTTCTCTCCTTTGGTTTCTCTGTGTTATTGGCCATGATGTCATACTCTTCCCTTGCAACTGATTTCCGTTCTAGAAACACTGTGCTTCTCCTTTATTTCACTGACCCTGCTTCTCACTTCCCCTTTGCTCCTTCTGGTCTAAGAGTTCTTCTTCATGTGATATATTATCCAGGGGAGAGATTCCGTTCTTCAATCACTCGATTCTGTCTCTCAAAGAACGAATTAATTTCTATGATAGTATCTACTACTTCAATGTTCTTGAGTTCCTACGGTGAATTAAAGATGGCTGTAAATACTTTGTGATTTTTCTAGTTGGAGTCTGTTTCCCTTCCCTTTGAAAATCTGGACCGGCCCCGGTTACCTTTTTTGAACCCTCGAGTCTGGCAGAAGTGGTGTAGAGTACTTTCTAAGGCTGGACATTAAAGAGATTTGTAGCTTCCGCTATTCTGTGCTTGCAGTGTTCCTTAGAGCTTAGAGTTCCTTGCCGGGGGAAAGCCTAACCAGCCATGAATATGGAGGAGTGGCAGGGCCCCTGCTCATTAGCCTAAACTGAGCTGCAAGACCAGCAGACAGCCCGAATGCCAGTCCTGTGACTGAGGCATTCTAGACCTTCCAGCCATCCCAACATTCCAGCCAACAGCACGTGAAACAGAAGATCTGCCTCATCATCCCACAGATTCATGAGAAATGACAAATGATTGTTTTAGCCACTAAGCTTTGAAATGTTTTTTTTTTTGCATGGCAATAAAGAACTAAAACAAAAATTGGTAGCCAGAAGTGAGGTGCTGCCATAAGGAAACATCTGGCATTGGCTTTGAGACCAGGGGACAATGAAGGTCTCAAGGGAAGTAAGACAACTTTAATGGTGGCTGGAAAGGCAGTGAGGAAATTGCTATTGGGGGATATAAAACAGTACCCTTGTTGCATACTGACAGAAAAACTGACCAGACTGACACCCCCAGCAACATGGAAAATGGGAAATGAACCTAATGGATTTGTGTATCTAGCTTAGGAGATTTTCCAGCAGAATATCAGAAGTGCCGGAGCGCCTGGGTGGTTCAGTTGGTTAAGCGTCCAACTCTTGATCTCAGCTCAGGTCTTGATCTCAGGGTCATGAGTTCAAGCCCTGCCTTGGGCTCCATGCTGGGCATGGAGCCTACTTAAAAAAAAAAAAAAAAAAAAAATTATGGAAGTGCTAATTGACTTTTTTTAACCACGACCAAAGTACTGCAAGAGAGAGATGAATTAAAGAAGAGACTGTTCAGATTTTAAACAGACTTTAGAGGATATATTTCCCACCCAGAATTGTCTAGGGTTGTAAATAAAACTGTTCTTCATTCCCAGCTTTTCCACCCAGCAAAAGGTAGTCAAAGTAAGAAATGGCCTCAGGTCGAAAGATCAGATCCAGAGCATTACTGCCAGTAAAAGTTCATCTCACGGTGCAAACAAACCCAGGGCCTTGCTGTAAGACCCTGTATTATGACTTCAGAAAGATGTAAGGCCATGCCTCCTGGACCTTCTCTGCTAGATAACAGGACTTCTAAGGACCTTAAGAATGCTGTCCCACAGCCTCCTAGACCTAATTAAGACGAAAAGATCCTGGACTTCAAGCCTGAACTTGATGCCATAGTCAGATGAAATTTTTAGGGGCTTGGAAGAAGGCGAGTGTTGCTTTGCATGTAGGAGGAAGGACTAGAAATCATTTGGGGGCAGGGAGAGCAGGGTAAGTGAAGCCGGGCTGTATATCTGTTACCAGTCCTCCCATTGAGAAGTCACGTTTCCCCTCCTCTGTCGTCTGGCATCCAGGCTGGCTGTGTGACTCCTTTGACTGATAAAATGTGGTGGACGTGACACTGTGTAACTTTGAGGGCTGGGCCATACAAGAACTGCAGTTTTCACCTTTGTGCTTGGAAGGCACCGTCTTAGAACCCAACTACGCTATGTGAGGACCCTCGAAGAGCCATGAGAAGTCACACTGGAAGAGCCAGCCATCAGCCAGCTCCAACCACCAGCCTGAAGAATGAGGGCATTCTGTACCTTCCAGCCACTCTTGCGCCGGTCGATCCTGTGAAGTAAATCATGAGAAATAGAACCCCATTGTTTTTTTAAGTCTTGAATATTGAGAATATGCAGAATAGCCCAAATCCTTCCCATCTACATGCAGCCGAGTGCTGGCCTCTCCCAGGAAAGGCCCTATGACCTTAGCTACACCCTGCCTAACATCTGACTATACTTCTTTCTGCTCTCTGATACGCTCAGTTATTTACTGTACAAATATTTGTTGTACACCATGTGCTAGGAACTGTGGAAGATACTATATAACACCATAAACTCAATATCTGAATCCATTTGACTCCTGCTTCTCCATGGACCCCTCTAGATGCTGTTGCTAGGTGGTGTTGAATTTTCATTTACAGTGACTATTTCATTCATTGCTTTCTTTTCAAACGTGTTGCAAAATTTTCCCTCATTACTTCAGCCCACACGATTGATTCAGCTGGGCTCTCTTGTCTCTGATTCCTCCTCAGGTCCACCCTACAAACCTCTACAGCTCAGGGACTCCCTGTTCTGCTGCCTTACACACCTGGGTCTCGGGTCTCTGAAGGGCTCATGGAGCGGCTGGTCGCTGTTACTGGTAGTCTGTGGAGAGGGGCGGCACTCTAGACATCTAGTGAAACTTTCAGGAAGATTTAAAAGGTTGGCACTTTCCCCAGATATTTTATTGCCAATCTGTCTTGTGAGCTTTCTCCTCCGGGGGAGTTTTGGAGGGGCGGAAAGAAAAAGTACTGGTCTCAGCTAGACCAGTTAAATTGCTTGATCAATTGTAGGAGTAGGGCTTGGATCTGAGGGGTTTTTTTTAAAAGCACTTCAGGTTGTTCTAATGGGAAACCAAAATTGAGAACCACTGTCTTATATTCTCAAAAAATGGTCTGTACACCAGCAGCAGCAACATTAACTAGAAGTTTGTTAGAAGTGCACATTCCTGGGGCCTACTTCAGACCTAATGAATCAGAAACTCTGAGGGTGGGACCTAGCACTTTGTGTTTTAATAAGCTCTCCAGTGATTTTTATGAACATTAATGTTACAGAAACACTTTACTGTATAAATCTTAGTTCCCTTCTAGGAAGTCTCAAAACTACAACTAAATTTGGGAGGGGTGTTTATTATTTGGAAGTCGCTCTATTGACAAGATCTGAAACAATTGGTAAAGGACATAAACTGGCATACCACGTGTCTTGCTAGTGTTCATTTAAGTTCTTGAGAAATGCTGAATGATTATCATCACATCTCTGAAGAATGGCTCAAGGGGTTATTTAGTCTGAAGAAAAGGAGCAAATTAATCAAGGATACTGATGCACTGTTTCCCAGAGAGAGAACTCAAAGAGGTGAATTTAAACTTCAGTTGGATATATGTTAGGCCCAAGAAACATCTTTTGATGAGAAGTGGTACCAAACATTTTGAAGGGCTATAAGGCAATTTCTAAATCAATTTGCAGTGAGAGCGTAGAGAAACCCCGTTTTGAATTGTTTGGTTATATCCCTGCCTGGGGTCAGAGACAGAGATCTTTGAAGTAGTGTCCAGTTCTCTGCATAGAATGACTCTAAATACCATCTGATCATCATTTGTTTATTTTTTCACTGGTTATTTTGGAAATGCTTTCAAAGTAAAATAGGGACTAGTGGGAAGTAAAGATGCCTAACTTGAGTGTTCTTGTTTCAATCCGAGAGGCTTTGGGGTGAGATTGTCAAATGAATTCATGTGCTTTGAAAAGCTTTTATGATTTTTTAATGAGGTTTAAAAGCTAAAGGAATGGGATTAGGATCATAAAATCCTTTACTCTTAACATGGTTTCTTTGAACTGATTTAGTAGTGCATTTGTATGTTAGAAATAGAGATCTGATTTAGATTGAATCCTCATTGTTTGCAAAAATATAGTCTGGAAAAAATTTCCTAGACACACAAACAGTATTAAATTTTGTAATGACAAAGGACAGCTATGCTCTGGCTTTTGAATTAAACACTTTGATTAGAAAAATTAACATCATTTAATATATAGGAGTGTTTGAGATTTTTCATACATCATTAAACCCGGATGCTATGTATTTATATGTGAAGTCTTAGTTCAGTGGCAAATGTTTGGTAGAAAAAGTTTAGCTGGGAAAGTAGATTATATAGTATGTTACAGGGGACATGGTAGAAAACTGTATATTTGCATCCTTGTTTTTCAAAAGATTAAAATAGAACCCAGTTACAATGCCATTGTTGGGAATAGTTGATGTCTTAGTCTGTTCAGGCTGCTTTAACAAGCTACCACAGACTGGGTGACTTAAATAGCAGACATTTACTTCTCACAGTGCCTGGAGGCTGGGAAGTTCAAGATCAAGGCATGGGCAGATTCTAATGAGAGCTCACTTCCTAGTTTATAGGCAGCCACCTTCTTGCTGTATCCTCACCTGGTGGAAGAGGCAAGAGAGCCCTCTGGAATCCCTTTTATAAGGGTACTAATACCATTCATGAGGGCTCCACCTTCATGATCTGAGGCTCCGCCTCCTAGCAGTATCACATTGGGAGTTAGGATTTCAACATATCTGTTTTAGGGGGACAAAATATTTAGTCTGTTGCAGTTGGGGAAAAGAGAGAAATATTCAGCTTTTTTTTTTAGCCTTTGAAAGAACTGAGTGGAATAGTTAATTGGATTTAAATGAGACAGCGTGGTCTGCCGTGGACAAGGTTTGAAATTTGAGTCAGAGGACGTAGGTTCTAATTGGAACTATTTCTTGACAGTTTTGTCACCTTGGACAGGCTAACTCCTTTGGGCCTGCTTTATTTTCCATGTTTTAAAATGTGAAGAAGAAGAATATTTATCTAACGGTTTATTATATGAAACAAATTAATATAAATGAAAGTGCTTTGAAAGTAGGAAAACAGATATCAGCTTATAAATAGTACATTTTTATTTACTCTCTTATTGACAAGGAATTCCTCAATGGAAAATTAAATTAGGTGATTGGAGGGAAAGTTTATAATTCTTAAAAAGGTAAACAGGAAAAGTTCTTTACAAATCATTTTCAGTTAGTATAAATATGGTAAGCCTATAGTTAGCTGTGGTTCTCTTAACAGATTAGTTATAATAGTTTCTCATATTATTATTTAAAAATATATATTTTAAAATCCTACTATAGTTGGTGGTTTGTGACTCTCTTCTTTCATAGAAATACTGTGTTTAAAGTAGAAAATGTGTTTGCAATATTTAAAAGAAAATGTATTGTACAAGAGGTATCAGGATGGCTGAGTAGCATTCTGGAGTTATGCAATAAATTCTTTCCTGGTACATTATAGATGCAATGCAATGGAAGAATATGTAAAATGTTTCACACCTCAAATATCTTTATCATACTTGCTGCACATAAATGCAGTTGTGTATCATATGTTGGAAGACTTTTAAAAATGAATTGTGAATGAGAAACTCATATTCCAGTGGTGCTATCTAAGTATGAATTAGTAAACAGCTGGATTGTCATACACATTGACTGTGTTTTCTGGCCTACAAAATAATTTGATACTGGATAGTAGTTATCAAGCAGGCTTTATTGCATATGGACTGGTAAATCCAAAGTAAATTTCAGACATGCCCAACTTTTTGATCTTTGAAAATGACAAGGTCACAAGAATATTACTAAAAATATCTTAAATACAATTTGGGGTTGGTATGCTGAGCTGGATTTCAAGTACTTAATAAACCAAAAAAGGATTGTGTCTTCAGGGCAAATATATAAACATTCCCAGCAACTTTTCAGAGGCACCATAGGCACTAAAAAAATACAATTTCCATACCGACTTAAAATTTTTGTATATTTTAGAATGGTCCCATATTTCAAACCGATCGATATATATGCAGTTTAAATTATTACAAGTGATTGTTTGAAGTAGATGCTAAGAATAGCAGTTATTAACCTCCAAGGTAAAAAAAAAAAAAAAAAAAGCTAATAGAAAAGGTAGCTACATTTAATAATATCATAATTTCAGAGAATTTCAGCTATATTTCTGAGCTGTGTCTTCAAAAGTTATTGTGACTATTTCTATTGAAATCAGTAGGCTAAATTTGAGGAGCACTGAGTCTTCTTATTTAGAGAGATGTGTGGCTTTAAATTAGGATGCAGAAATTACATGATTTGACAGGCCATCTGATAAATGCGAATAAGACCAACTGTATATGAGGACTGAATGAGAGAAATTAACATATGTAGGCTGCTTGGAAAAGCTAAGTGTTCATCTAAGTGTTGTAAATATGGCATTTTTATTTATTTATTTATTATTATTTTTTTTAAAGAATTTATTTATGTATTTGAAAGAGAGAGAATGAGAGAGAGCACATGAGACGGGGGAGGGTCAGAGGGAGAAGCAGACTCCCTGCCGAGCAGGGAGCCCGATGCGGGACTCGATCCCGGGACTCCAGGATCATGACCTGAGCCGAAGGCAGTCGCTGAACCAACTGAGCCACCCAGGGGCCCGTAAATATGGCATTTTTAAATATATTAGCATCTAAGTTTCTATAGAAACTTCTCTGTAATTTAAGGGAGTTCAGGGGCTGAGTATGATCTCATACATGGGTGGGGTCCTGTATTTATAGCTTTGCCAAAATGTCCTCCAGTGTGAAAAGGAAACTGATCTATGAAAATCTATTTGCTGTATCGTGTCTTATGATGGAGAGGGTCTCTAAAGACGGTATCTCCCTTTTTATTTGAAATACTACAGCTATTATATCTATGCTTTCTCGTAGAATGAAGACAAACACAGAGATGGTGTGTCTAAGAAATTTCAAAAGGTGTCGGCCTCCTGATTGAAGGACAGTCAACTTATTGGATTCATTTTTTTCATCCAGTAAGTATAAATATTTAAAGTACATTATTTTGGTCAACGTTGACTTGTGTTCTTTGTTGAATAAATATTCGCTCTTTGTCAAATACCCTCATCATGGTTGGGGCCATTTGTGTTTACATTCTTCTGCAATTTCAGTTGTATGTCTTAAATGAATTTAACGCTCAGGACCTTTGAGAGGACAAATACAGCCATAAACTGTGAGTGGGCAGAGCCCCTAGAGATGATCTGGCTCGTTCTCTTTATCCATTAAAAGACGATGCTACTGTGATTTTTTTTCTTACCAGATATGTTATTAGATCCAAATATTTCCTTTTATTTGTCTTACTCTGTGCTACCTTATAGGTGGTCTGGATTTTACTAATTAGCTATTTTTTAAACAATTGATGTATCTAAGGTTGAACATTACATAAATCATTGCTGTAAGGAGCACTGTCTGAATACTTTTTAATATGAAAAAATGCAAAATCTATCTCTGTTTTTTCTGAAGGCAAAAATAATTTAATAATAGAGTATACCCTTAATCGTTTATCCTATTAGTACTTTGCCATCAAAACAGTAATCATGAGAGAGAGTCCCCAAAGTAGCGTGTTCTAACTGGGTTTTTCTTCCCTATCCCCTTTTAAGCCACTACTGTTGTTTTGTCAACTTTTAAATACTCTGAGTTGGACGTGAACTTAAGTTATAAATCAGGAGCTTGAGGGGAGAGGAGATAATGTATTAACTCATAGTTTGTTTCGAACATAGAACTGGTAGATCCCTCTAATCCTAAGGGATAATTATATAAAGCAGTGCTTGCTCAGAAGAGGTTCCCCATAGTGGTTGAAACACAAATCCTAAGCTGCAACTAATGCTCCAGACAGCGGGTAGGATGTGGAAAAGAGCTTATTCAGACCGTTTGGAAGGTATGAAATGTGGCTATAAGAAATAAGTAGCATAAGAGTAAGTTTTCCTAAGGTTGATTGAAGAAAACATGGCTTCTTGTTTTTAATAGCTTGGCAGAGAGTCAAGATCCAGGAGGAAACTAGATAGTTACTTCACAATCTGCCCCAAATACCTTTATAGTTCCAGTCTGGCGACCACCAAATGATCCCTCATCTGAAGGACTTTAGAGTGCACAGCTGGGATGGCCAAAGTTTTCAAATGAAACCAGAAGACCTTTGTATCCTCTGATAAGCCCTGCCTCCCAGGTTCTGTCCCCAAGCTAAATCCTACCTGGGTAAGACAAGCCATTAGAGTTTTGGATACTTGCTTCAGTGGCTTTTCTTTTCTTTTCCTCTTCCAGTTCCTGTACTCCTACAAGGGAAAATCATGATTACACTAACAGAGCTGAAATGTCTAGCAGACGCCCAGTCATCTTATCACATCCTAAAACCATGGTGGGACGTCTTCTGGTATTACATCACCCTGATCATGCTGCTGGTGGCCGTGCTGGCTGGAGCTCTCCAGCTCACACAGAGCAGGGTTCTGTGCTGTCTTCCATGTAAGGTGGAATTTGACAATCACTGTGCCGTGCCTTGGGACCTCCTGAAAGCCAGCGCCAACACGTCCTCCTCTGATCCCGGGACCCCGCTTCCGCTCCCCCTCAGAATCCAGAATGACCTCCACCGACAGCAGTACTCCTACATCGACGCCGTCTGTTACGAGAAGCAGCTCCATTGGTTCGCCAAGTTCTTCCCCTACCTGGTGCTCCTGCACACACTCATCTTTGCAGCCTGCAGCAACTTTTGGCTTCACTACCCCAGTACCAGTTCCAGGCTCGAGCATTTTGTGGCCATCCTTCACAAGTGCTTCGATTCTCCGTGGACCACCCGTGCCCTGTCCGAAACAGTGGCCGAGCAATCAGTGAGGCCCCTGACACTCTCCAAGTCCAAGGTTCTGCTTTCATCCTCAGGGTGTTCAGCCGATGTTGATTCCAGCAAGCAGTCATTGCCCTACCCACAGCCTGGCTTGGAGTCAGCTGGCATCGAAAGCCCCACTTCTAGTGTCCTGGACAAGAAGGAGGGCGAACAGGCCAAAGCCATCTTTGAAAAAGTGAAAAGGTTCCGCCTGCATGTGGAGCAGAAGGACCTCATTTATAGAGTGTATCTGAAGCAGATCATCGTGAAGGTCATTTTGTTTGTCCTCATCATAACTTACGTTCCATATTTTCTAACCTACATCACTCTTGAAATTGACTGTTCGGTCGATGTGCAAGCTTTTACCGGCTACAAGCGCTACCAGTGTGTCTACTCCTTGGCAGAAATATTTAAGGTCCTGGCTTCGTTTTATGTGATTTTGGTTATACTTTATGGTCTCACCTCCTCCTACAGCTTGTGGTGGATGCTGAGGAGTTCTCTGAAGCAATATTCCTTTGAGGCGTTGAGAGAGAAAAGCAACTACAGCGATATCCCTGACGTCAAGAATGACTTTGCCTTCATCTTGCATCTGGCCGATCAGTATGATCCTCTCTATTCCAAACGCTTCTCCATATTCCTGTCGGAGGTCAGTGAGAACAAACTGAAACAGATCAACCTCAATAACGAATGGACGGTTGAGAAACTGAAAAGTAAGCTTGTGAAAAATTCCCAGGACAAGGTAGCACTGCACCTTTTTATGCTAAATGGTCTTCCAGACAATGTCTTTGAGCTGACAGAAATCGAAGTGCTCAGCCTGGAGCTCATCCCTGAGGTCAAGCTGCCCTCTGCAGTCTCACAGCTGGTCAACCTAAAGGAGCTTCGTGTGTACCATTCGTCCCTGGTGGTGGACCATCCGGCGCTGGGCTTTCTGGAGGAGAATTTAAAAATCCTCCGCCTGAAATTCACCGAAATGGGGAAAATCCCACGCTGGGTATTTCACCTGAAGAATCTCAAGGAACTTTATCTGTCTGGCTGTGTTCTCCCGGAGCAGTTGAGTACCATGCAGTTGGAGGGCTTTCAGGACTTAAAAAACCTGAGGACCCTCTACTTGAAGAGCAGCCTCTCCCGGATCCCACAAGTCATTACAGACCTCCTGACTTCACTGCAGAAGTTGTCCCTCGATAATGAGGGAAGCAAACTGGTTGTGTTGAACAACTTGAAAAAGATGGTCAACCTGAAAAGCCTGGAGCTGATCAGCTGTGACCTGGAACGCATCCCACACTCCATTTTCAGCCTGAACAATTTGCATGAGTTAGATCTTAAAGAAAATAACCTTAAAACTGTGGAGGAGATCATTAGCTTTCAGCATCTCCAGAATCTTTCCTGCTTAAAATTGTGGCACAATAACATTGCTTATATTCCTGCCCAGATTGGGGCACTATCTAATCTAGAGCAGCTCTCTTTGAACCATAATAATATTGAGAATCTGCCCCTGCAGCTTTTCCTATGCACCAAACTACATTATTTGGATCTAAGCTATAACCACCTGACCTTCATTCCAGAAGAAATCCAGTATCTGAGTAATTTGCAGTACTTTGCTGTGACCAACAACAATGTAAGTAAATCCATCCTTCCCTCTATTTAGCCAGTCTTTTGAGCATCTGCTGTTGCAGTGTATAATGTGGTTAAAGAAAATGGACTTTCAGTCCTACGAAGCATCCTCTGAGCCTGGCCTGACTACCACTTACTAGATACGTGCCTGTGAGTAGGTTAGCAAAACACTGAGCATCAGTTTTTGATCTAACTTACAAGTCGTCACGGAGATTTTATGAGAAAAATACATATAAGCACTGGGCACAGTTCCCGGCACATAGTAATTGCTCAACGAATGTTCTCTTTATTCTCTTTCCCCATTTTTTACATGAACATCACAGTTGAAGTATTTTAAACTAATTAGTTATAACAGAGCTTACTTTTTATTTTGGAAAGATCTTAAGTAGTTAGAAAGCTTCATAAGAGTTTTTAGCTTTCCAGATCTGTCCTAGGAGAAGAAATTTCTGTTAAAAATACTGGGATCATGAATTATTCATAAATCTTTTTTGTGATGCAGTAAAAAAGACTTGAAATCTACATGCATGTCTAGAAAGACAATTCAAAATGAAAGGCCTGGTTCTATAATGCAACACTAGGGCTTCTTAGAAGCTTTTTCCAGCATCCATACTTTAAAAATGAACCATAATTTGCAAGAGTAAAGCCAAGTTAAGGAAAACTTGACTTCACTGAAACAAGAAAAAAAAAATAAATGAGTAGTTTCCTAGGTTAAAATGTGAAGCAGGAGGGAAAAGAAAAAAAAAATCATGCTAGCCAAAAGGGCAAGAGAGCGATGGTAATGTCCATACGAGAAGAAGGAAAAAAATCTTTCAGAAATCAGGTCTGCCAAAAAATGAAAATTGATCTTCCTGTTGTAGAAAATGGGAGCTATTTTCTTTTACCCCACCCCCATAAATGTAATATCTCCTAGACTTTTTGTAATTCATATTTCATGCTAAATATCACTATGAGCATGGTGTTAGCTAATAAACATATTAATCACCAGCCATTATTTTCAAAAACCATGGATTGTTGGGAAAACACCAGAAAGTTGGGGAATGAGAGCAAAATTCCTGCTGATTTTTAGAACCCTAAGACTTAATTCATATGTTAAAAGGCTAGAACCCATTCTAAGATAAATGAGAAATCTTAAGAGTCTTAAAAGATTATGAGGCTGTAAAACTCCTTGAGGGTTGATCTAGATTAGCAGTGTTCATCAGAATTACCTGAAGGGCTTGTTAAAACACCAACTGCTGGACCCCAATCCCAGAGTTTCTGATTCAGTAGGTCTGGTGTAGGATCCAAGAGTTGACAGTTCTAAAAAATCCCAGGTGAAGCTGATTCTGCTGGTGTGGGGACCATACTTGGAAAACTATATGTCTAGAGATTTATCATTAGTGTTGTTTAATCATGTCGTTCATTAATATTAATATTTTGGTTATACTTTTCCCTTTGTTAAGTCAACAACAAAAAATACAAATAATTATTTTGAAAGGCTTCGGGTCCACTAAGTTGTTATGTGGTTATATCACTACATGAATTTTTGAAAGTTGCAGCTGATTAAATTGTTAGCTGGCCATGAATTATTTAAGTGTGTAAGCAGGTTAATGTGTTTTTCTAGTTTAATATAATAAAACCTTAAGACCATTGGTACTTTTGGGGGCTCCTGGGTGGCTCAGTTGTTAAGAGTCTGCCTTCGGCTCAGGTCATGATCCCAGGGTCCTGGGATCGAACCCCACATCGGGCTCCCTGCTCGGTAAGGAAGCCTGCTTCTCCCTCTCCCACTCCCCCTGCTTGTGTTCCTGCTCTTGCTATCTCTCTGTGAAATAAATAAATAAAATCTTAAAAAAAAAAAAAGACCACTGGTACTTTTGATACCAAGTTTATTGACTTGACCACATCTAAAAGAGAAACTAGGTACGAGTATCAGACACATTTTATCTTGAGTAAGGGAAGATACTTGGCGCACATAAAAAGTCCTATACTGGGTGCCTGGGTGGCTCAGTCATTAGGCGTCTGCCTTCCGCTCAGGTCATGATCTCGAGGTCTTGGGATCGAGTCCCGCATTGGGCTCCCTGCTCCGTGGGGAGTCTGCTTCTCCCTCTCCTTCTGCTCCTCCCCGCTGCTCGTGCTCTGTCTCTCTCAAATAAATAAATAAATAATCTTAAAAAAAAAAAAAAAAAGTCCTATGCTGAAGGCAGTTATGGCCAAAATAGAATGATATCTTAGGCTGAGTTGTCTCAGAAGTCTAATAACCAGCAGTTGCCGAGCATCCCAGAGCCATAACAGTGACCATGACACCTTTGAATGGGTGAGGAACACTCTCATCAGAACTGTGAAGAGACTTATTTAATCAGGATATGGAGAAAGTGGAACTCACTCAGGAGATAGCAGCCAGAGAGGTGAAAAGTACTCCAACGGACCAGTTAGCCTAAAGATAGGAAGTATTGGGGAGGGAAGGGAGAAAGAATAGTTCACAATATTGGTCTTTAAATATTTGGAAAACTTAAATAGAAATCTTCTTGCAAGTAACCATGAGTGTTAGAACCAGGACAAGCAGGGGAAAGATTTCTCATATTTCCCAAAAAGCTGTCCAAAAATTGAACCTTTGAGGAGGGGGAAGTGATTTCTTATTAAACTGTCCAGATATAGATTGTCAACCACTTGGTAGGAGTGTTGTTAAAGGGAATCAGGGATTCATGTTTCAGTTTCAGGGTTCCTTCTAACTTTGAGATTCCTAAGATTCTATGACATAGGCCAAAATATTTTTTTTAAATTAGAAAATAAAACCTCAAATTGGATGCATAAGTATTTAGATTTGTGCACATACTCAGAAATGTGAGTTGATTCGTCCATTTGGAATAAAAGTTGGTAAAGGTTCCTGAAAGGAGAGGTTTTAAAATACTCTTCTAGAGTTGGGCAGTATACCAGGTTCATGGATGGAGTCAACAAATGCTCTCTGTGGTTAAGTAGAAAAGACATTTATTGAAAGGCTGTTGTGTCATATTATCACTGAAAGGCTGCAGAATCAGGCTTGGAAAACAATTAAGCATAAAATTAGTCAGATAACCAAAATGTCAAAAGCATAGCACAAAAGCAAAATGGTGAGGATACCCTGCCGCTGACCATCCCACCCTGAAAACTGGATGCTGCTGCTACTGCAGCCCTCGCCCTCCCACAAAATAAGTTATTCGTGGTTTCTGCTGCTTTGTGACACTAGCCCCGATTTAAAGTCCAAGTTTGAGCACCTGATTGGCAGAGCTTTTGAACTCCCACCCCACACTCAAGCTGTAAAGGATCTGGGAACACTAGAATATGGTGTCAGTTCCTCCAGTGGGAAGTGGACTCTGCTTCCCACCAAGAGTCCCACCAAGATGAGGTAGGGGATTCTCCAAACATTGAAGATACTGGGCATCCCCCAAATGACAGACTTTCACAGAGAGGGCACTCTAGAGTTTCTTCCACAAGATAGTAATAGGTGTTATCACACAAAACACTAAACATTTCTTTTTATCATATTTTTTGCTGCAGGATTCCTCAGAGCCTTTAGTAGTTGAATATGCACTGTGCTTCTCCAAGAGGGAGGTATGATATATGCAATGTTTGCCAAATATATTTGAGCAAGATGCTCTTTTTATTTTATTTTATTTTTAAGTAATCTTTATACCCAATGTGGGGCTTGAACTTACAACTCCAAGATCGGGAGTCACATTAGAGCCGCTCTACTGACTGAGCCAGCCAGGAGCCCAAGATGCTTTTTTTTTTTTTTTAATAGTAACTCTTGAGAGGAGTGTTCCTAAGAACACTGGGGGTTGGGGAAATGTAAAAGGATAGAGGTCATGTGCAGAGGCATGCCCAGATGTAATCAGAGATGAGAGCATTTAGAAGGTGGGTCAGAATGGAGAATGCCTTGAAGTCTGCCAGTCAAGTTCAGGTTTAAGTTCATTGGACAGTAGGTGGGATCAGACTTGAGCTTGAAAGTGATATTTAGCATGAACTGACACCTTCAAAGGAGGCTCTAATTGTAACCCATTTCTTGGAAGGGTTGGGAGAATACAATCAAGAAATAAAACCCCTTGAAAAAGTTTAATCAGTTATGATTTAGAAGTAGGAATATAAATTAAAAACAAAAAATGAAGATTTATATCTGAAAGGAATACCATGTGCCATGGGACCAAAACCCACCCACAGCCTGAGCTAAGAATGCTTTTTTAAATTTGTATACAGCCCCAACTGAAGAACAGTTTTTAAAATTTTTTAATGGTCAGGGAATTTTTTTTTTTTTAAGATTTTATTTATTTGCGAGAGACAATGAGGGACAGAGAGCATGAGAGGGAGGAGGGTCAGAGGGAGAAGCAGACTCCCTGCTGAGCAGGGAGCCTGATGCGGGACTTGATCCCAGGACTCCAGGATCATGACCTGAGCCGAAGGCAGTCGCTTAACCAACTGAGCCACCCAGGCGCCCTTTTTTTTTTTACATAACATTTGTCTTACATGAAAACTATGAAATTCAAATCTCAGTAGCCATGAATAAATTCCATTGTTCTCATTCGTGGGCCTATATTGCAAAAAAAATTATCCTCAATTGTTATTCTATTTTTAATTTCCTCATTTTAAAATGTATGAAATTTTTTCTCTCCTGTTGTATAAGCACCTACATAATATTTTCAGTTTTGCTTCTTCACCCACAAAACCTAAAATATTTACTATCCTACGCATTTAGAGAAAAACTTTCCAACTCTGCTCTAGTTACTGCCCTCATTTTACTGATACGGAAACTGATGCTCAGAGCGATTTGCCTGAAGTCTGAAGCTTCCTAGCGATGGATCTGGGATGGAACCCAAGAGCTCCAGCTCCCACTCTGACCCTCCCTCTACTGCATCTGAGATGCGTCAAACCAAATGCTCTGATGCGGGAAGCAGTGGTGTGTGTGGATGGGCGTGGGAGATGGGAGTGGAGGAGGCAGCATCTCTATACCAGTGCCAAAGCGTAATTGGATTATGGTGGTATTGAATGTGATGGAAAATTTGAACTGAATGTGATGGAGAAGCATAGGAAAGGTGGGAAGACTTAATAGTCTCACTCAAATCTTAAAAACCACTCCAATTTACACCTAGGTCTTCCAACTTCTACATTTGTGCATTTAATGCATTTCTTTTATTAACTCAAAGACTTGTAGCTGGAAGTAGAAATTCCTTCTGAAGATCATTTATGTGGCAGAGCTTATGTTGACATCGCTGCTTAGAAATGGAAATATGCATTTTTGTTTCCTGAAATGATTGGATTTTATGGATTTGGTTAGCATGTTCTGAGATGATGTGTTCAGTGGCCAGAAAAAAACAAAAGGGAAATCTGCCATTGAGACAGATTCTGAAGTAAGGTCTCAGCCTCTGGAACAGAGGAGTATTTAATTATCAAATGTCAGCAGTAGATACAGGAAGGGGACCATCCTTCCTTGGATGTCCGGGGGCTCTACTACATTTTGTTCAAGAAACTTTGTTGCCAGAGAATTCTAGGATGTAGCATTAGTTTCTCTCTTTTTTTCAGTTTATTTGATAGCTTATTGCATGTTTCATTTATAGTTTATTCTGTTAAAAAACCATTCTGCATATGAAGTCTATCATCTTCCTGATAGTCTGCAAACATTTCTTTCGATTTTTTTTTTAGAAGAAATCGGTAGTCCATGAGGGTGAGTTCTTCCTTTTTGGGTCGTATATTATATTGTCTAGGAAAGAGCATGTTAAATGAATTGAGAATAAATAAATGCTATCTAAAATTTTTTAATAAAATGTATTGGCCAAGGCAAAATGTTTTTGATGTTCTCATAAGCTTCAGGGTAAACTTTTTTTTTTAAAGATTTTATTTATTCATTTGCCAGAGAGAGAGAGTACAAACAGGGGGAGCAGCAGGGAGAGGGAGAAACAGACTCCCCACTGAGCAGGGAGCCCGATGCGGGGCTCGATCCCAGGACCCTGGGATCATGACCTGAGCCGAAGGCAGACGCTTAACTGACTGAGCCACCCAGGCGTCCCCAGGGTAAACTATTTTTAAAGGTGTTAGTAGACTTTTCAGGATAAAATTGCTGAATTGAAGGAAAGTCTTGTGTCTCTAACACAGCTCCCCAGCCTCCTTTAACATAACTGAATTCAGCTAGGTGACAAAAGGTCTTGTGCCTCAGCTGGTTGCTGACACCAAGTGAAATTCCCCGAGACGGACACTTGGCACTGGGGAAGGAGCACCGCTCACTGCAGCCCTTGCCCCACTTTCATGACCGCTGCACAGCTGAGGGACCCCAGTGGCTCACTCCCACTGCCATGTGAAATCCCTCTCCTGTCTTAGGGGGCTGAGAAGTCGCTAAAATCACAAATTTGGGAATTTGAAAGAAGATGGGGGAGAACATGGTAGCACTGATAGCCAGACAGAAGGAGAGTGATGGCAATGGCTTCAGGGTATTCACCTAGTGGAAAGGAGTCCAGTTAAGCAAGGTACTTGCTGGGCATCTGGAAACTAACTGAACCAGGGAGATGGAGGAGTCCCGACACAGCCTCTGATACAGTCCCTCCTTCCCAGCACCCACTACAGACTAATTATTCACCTAACTGTTTAGTATTTCTCACCCAGGAGACCAGTACTTCTCAAATGGGGGCACTTTGGCCCCCATAGAGACATTTATCTGAAGACATTTTTGATGATCACAGCTGAGGAGGGGTGTAGCACTGACTTCTAGTAGGCAGAGGCCAGGATGGCTGCTAAATAGTCTGCAGTACACAGGGCACCCCCACAAAAGGAATTTTCTCACCCAAAATGTCAACAGTGCCAAGGTTGAGAAACCCTGCATTAGACTGTGGTTCTCAAAGACCTATCTGTCTTGCTCGGCACTTTATCCTCAACACCTAACTGGGAGCCTGGCACAAAAGGAGGCTCTCTGCACGCATTTACTGAATACAGATGAGCCAAGCCTACCCTCTTTTTTCAGCCGGCTTGCTTAAGTCATTGCTTAGACGCTAATAGGCACTCTCAGGGTTGAGCTTGGGTTGCACAGGACAGATTGTTTACTCTACTTGTACGTCACTGACCCTACTTCTGAGCTGCAGGTGTATGACCAGAAGAGGTTGCATTAGAAAGGGGTTACATTTCTTTTCTTTAAAAAAAAAAAAAGATTTTATTATTTATTTGACAGAGAGAGAGATAGCGAGAGCAGGAACACAAGCAGGGGGAGTGGGAGAGGGAGAAGCAGGCCTCCCGCCAAGGAGGGAGCCCAATGCAATGCGGGGCTTGATCCCAGGAGCCCAGGATCATGACCTGTGCCCAAGGCAGATGCTTAATGACTGAGCCACCCAGGCGCCCCAGGGGTTACATTTCTCCCATCTCTCATCTCTCTGCCACATCTCTACATTGAAATCTACATATGTATGGTTTTGCATCTGTATTCTTGAGAAGAGAATGAAATGAAAGGGTAGATATTTTTCCTTTGCTTATCCCTAGTATTTTGGTGTACAGTGATGAGCTTTATTGAATGCCGTACTTAGCAATGGTGATCATTTGATTTATTTCCAAGGATATCCGGTACTGAGTGTATGTGGCGGTGATGGAGGAGAGGGGAATTTCCAATATAATGAGCATTTTTTAATGCAGTTTGACCATTTTTTGGTTTGTAGAGAGAATGTTTATCCTTTTGAGGAGATAGTTCTGGATGGCCCTGGAAATTCCAGGGGAGAGCTGGCTCAGTGGGACTGTGTTAGCCCATCAGAGGAGCAGCCTGAGCTCTTGAGTGCCCCTTTCATTCCCGTGTCTAACAAAGCCACGTCCTGAACCAAGGAAGGAGCCTGCACTAATTCATAGTTGCAAAGATGCCCCGTCCACAGGTACATAAATATGCGGAGTATTAGAGATTGGGGTGTGTGCTGTCCAGCACTGCCTGGTGCAAACTCACCTCGCAGTGGCATGGTGAGAGTGGAGGATGCTTGCTCTCAGCTCTTCTGTGGATGTCTTTTCCAACCAACTTTCACATGTGGACTGTGGCTCCCTTAGAAATTCACATGCAATCCACCCACCACATGGGGGAGCAGCTCATTTGAGCAGTCCTAGGAGTTGACCTAATTTCAGGCTATTTATCATATTTTAAATTATTTCTCCGTGTTGCATGATTTATTTGAAGCTGCCAGAGGGCAGGAAGAAGGGTAAATACTCAGGAGTGTATATGTAGAGGGAAATGAAATGTGCACGTATAGATGATCATGTCTTCTTGTCTGTGCCTCAGTCGACTTTTTTCTTTTAACAGAATGAAGTTTTCAGTCTCTAGTTTGAAACCCTTAGAAATAGCCTTGTGTCTGTACTCACAATGTTTTTGAGGATATTGCTCATTACATCACACAGTAACTCTTTATGAGGATTCTTGAGAAAAGTTATTTGTGATCCTCGGCCTCAAGAATAATTATGATTTTCCTAAAATACTGTTGTTGTTGTTGTTGTTTATCTTAGGGACCATGAGTAGGTGACTAATTAGGTTTTGTTTGAGAATTGCTTGTTAGAATGCTTAGAATCAAATCTTTTGCCCACCCACATATACAGCAAGGGTTTAGAAGTTCATGGTAGCCTCAGCACTGACTTCAAGTCAGGACGTTCTTATTTTTCCTTTATCTTTTCCGTCTCCTTCAAATTTATCATCATTGTTCTATGGATTCCTATAAATGTCCGGAAATGTTTTTGGAAAACGGTAGGGGTGTAAATAAGCAAATGCATTATCATAGGCCGTAGAAAAGCAGTTTTACTGGCTTCTTTTTTTCCCTTTCCAGATTGAGATGCTACCAGATGGGCTGTTTCAGTGCAAAAAGCTGCAGTGTTTACTTTTGGGGAAAAATAGCCTGATGAGTTTGTCCCCTCACGTGGGTGAGCTGTCGAACCTTACTCATCTGGAGCTCATTGGTAATTACCTGGAAACACTTCCTCCTGAACTGGAAGGATGTCAGTCCCTAAAACGGAGCTGTCTGATTGTAGAGGAGAATTTGCTCAACACTCTTCCTCTCCCTGTAACAGAACGTTTGTAGATGTGCTTAGATAAATGTTGACCTAAAGAGAAAATAATTTTTAAAAGTTTGCCCCAGGGCTTTAAATGAGAACTAAAATTCTCTAAGTTATAAGGATGAAAAATGGGTAATAATTATGACTAACTATAACCAAATGTCTTTAAAGCAACTCAGTGTCTAGCCCTAAGTTAAACAGGTCAAAAGTGTTAACACTGAACTTAAGTTTTGTGAATAACTGATCTTTAACTTACTAAGATGTGAGAAGTATACTTCGAGGGTGGCATGGGGGACACAGAATTACTGAATCTCTACCTTGCAGTTTTTACCTTGAAGATTAGATATTCTTTCATATCCCTCCCCCCAGTCCCCATTACTTACTTATTTGCACACTTGTTTTCACTGACTTCCTGTTTTGGTATTTATCACCTAGACCATAAATTCATAAGTATAAATGTCCTTGATGTATACTCAACACTGTCTTTGATTTATGTTCTTAAATATTTTTAGGCAGGGTGTACATTGTGCTTGGCCGAATTCCTTCTTGGCTTGATTTTATTTCCTGTCCCAGCTCGCTTGAGTCTTCCTTCATCTTGTTTTCTCTTAACAATGATGAACCCTAAAAAAAAGCCCCCAAACAAGGGTGAACCCTGAAAACGTGCCTGTGTTTGGCCCTTGCATAGAAAAGGACAGGGTACTTAGGACATGTCACCCTCGGGGCACCTTGAAAATTGATCTATTTCCTAAAATGTCTTCTTATGTATCATCAAAGCCTTTTTTATTTGCTAATCATTTTTATATTAAATGTAAAACATGTAACTATTTTCTATGGTATAATCTTAGATTCAAAATATGTGAGAATAATTTCTGTAAGGTACAGAGAACACATGCATTTCTTTAAGAATTTACTATTAATATACTTGGTTTTGGCTGCTTACGAGTCTCATATTTGTGTGCATCCTGCCCCAGAATGTTTTTGTACTCTGCAGCTCATTACTTTTGGACAACACAAGCCTTGTGTTTCTTGCCCTGGAATAGTTGGGGGGTTTCCTTATAAGAGGATGGCCGCATCATCTACCTCTCTCTTCCCTAGTCGCTGTGCTATCATACGGGTAACAATTCTTAATTACTTCAAAAACTGTGATGGAGGGGAGAGGTACAGATTTGAATCCTTAAAATTGACTTCAAAACACTTGGAGAAATTAAGACTTAAAGCAAAATATTTCTCCATCTGCATGATCTCTAGATACGATTATAATGTAGAACACTCCGCCTCTGTTCAGTATTTAAGAATTCTCAAAGCTCACAAAGCAGTAGATCCATTTAACTGAAATTCATCTCATGCCTTTGTCTAACTTTCCTGGAATACATTTTGCTCTTTTTTTTGTAAAGAGCTTTGTGTTTAGCCTTTTATTATCATGCATATTGTAAAATGAATAAAGTCAACCGACTTGTTTTTGGGAAATGTACATTTTTACCATGTTTTTCTCTGATGGGTCTAGGCATTACGATGCCGGTCTCATTTTGAATGTTAACTATGAAGTAACCTATTAACTGCACATAGACAAAACTGGAAAACACTATGGGTAAAGTACTGTGAACATGGAATTGTGATGTGTGGTATGTTGTTTCTTGCTTTGCCCCTTCCAGAAAGGTAAAAGTGAGTCTTTAAATTACAGCAAAATGTAGCTCCCCTCACTTGCCACACACCCCTGAACTGAAGCTCAGAAAAAGGAATTGTTTGTGTCAAATGTAATTTGAATAATACGAGCTATAAAACTATAAACACCAACAGCTGCCTAAAACATTTATTTTTATTCTGAATGAGAAGGAACAGTGTAAAAATGTTAATTCTTACCAAAACTTGCCTTTAGTCAGAACATTCAAGTTCTCAGGGACCCAGGCATAACTGATGAAACTTTCTTCCAGGACTTTAGAAAACAGATTCTGACTCTATCTGAGGTTTTTGTTCTTTTCGTTTTTTTTAATGTAAGTTAGTGGCCATTTTAATGTTTCACAATAAAATTGTCATATGTACGGATTTCAATGTTGGATTGGATTAATCTTAAGTTTTTGGAATATGGAATGTGATGCATGGAGAGGTATTGAAATGTTTGTGGCCATATAATTAGCCATAATCTCTATGAAAAATCCCACCCCCCTCCAGAAAGAAGAGTTTTCAAAACAAACTTCAGATTTGCTACCATTCTCACAAACTAGAACTTCTGCACGACTAGTCACACTGGTTGTGTTCCCCTGCAAAAGTCATTGACTAGATCTTCCTTATTGCTTCTCTCAATTTCTGGAAGCACATTATTACTTATCAGGATCAATACTGAATATTGTAAACTGCTTTCCAAACACGAGGGTATGGTTACTGGTACAAACCTTGTTCTTTGTTGCCATAGTTTTTAGATTTCTGTCTTATTCCAAGCTTACACACCAGTGTTTAGGTAGCTTTTGAAATAACATAGTACTGATGCAATGAACTCTGAGACCGCCACCTGACAGACTGGAAATGTGGTGTTGGAGGCCACCTTTACTGCATTGTCGGAGCAGATCTTCAATTTGCGAGTGTTCATGTTCATTTAAGAGGGTTTTCAATGAGGAAAATGCGACGTATTCAATTAGGACACATTAGATGGCATAGGATTTCCAAGAATGTCTAATGCATTTTCCAAAAAAATACCCGTGGATGGGACTCGGAACAAAGTTGATGGCTTATGCTAGCCATGGCCTAGGTTCGTTTCACTTACATATGCACACGGACACACACAGGTGAGCTTGGACACACACAGAGACACACACACCCTGGGCAGTTTTGAGCACTCGTGGTAAGGTATAGTGTTCTTTCCCTAACCTGTGTTAGGATACATCTGTGTGGCACATAGATACTGTGTTTTCATTCTTCATCCTCGGTCTTCATCTTTCTCCCTGGATATCACCATATTTCACTGTCACTTAACACATGTTTGCGTTAAACAGGGTAAGTAGAGACCCATGGGTGCTCAGTGCTTTGGCGTAGCTCGTTCGTGTGGTAAGCTAACTACTGCGCTGTGGTAAGCGGCAGTGAGTTCTTTGCATAATGTTACTGTTTGAGAGCGACAATATTTGTTTCTGTTCCCCATGCGTTTCATGATTCAGATTTTGTATGTTTAATTAAAATATTGCATAATGATGGGCTCAGAAACCATTAAAATGATCAAACAGTTATCCTGTGGGTTGACAGCTTTCTTCCCCGGTATTTTGTATAAAACGCTCCTTCCGTCTTTACATTCTCTTAGCATCGTCCTAACTGCGTGGGTAACTCCATCACTCATCTCCTTACATTTGGTCAGCACTTGTGTATAACAGAATATATTTGTGCTAAAGAACTCGCAGTGATACTTGAGCATGTATTTATTTGGGGGGAAGCCAGGGCCTCTAATGAGGCCTAATTGAGTTATTCCACTTTACCCATCCCTGCAGTATTTAGAGCTGATTCAATCCGTGATCTCTCATGCCTACCAAAAGCACGAGAATATAACCGTAAGTCCACTTTGTTTCCAGGAACTGTATATTGCATCAAAATCTGTGTTCCTTTCTTCCTGGAAACAAGAGGGAGGCTGATGGGAGGGGGAGGAGCTCTTTAGTATCCTCGTTTGAATTATGAAGACATAATACACATGATATGGTATAAACTCATGGCTGTTGGAAAATGTCCTGGATATAATTATTTCTTATCTTTAGTTGAATGTGAAAGCAGTGAAAACCTGCAGTCCTATTTAATTGGTTTCTTCCTGTTTCTAGTCCATCACTTTTTACATCCGCTGGGAACTATCTGCTCAGTACCTTTGGTAATGGACTACATTCTCTTCAACTTTTTTCTTTTTTTAATATGGACAATTTCATCAACACTAAAGCATTAACACAGAATATATGAGCTACAGTACTGAGTTGAGATTGTTTCCAGTTGTACCTAATTCATGTTTAAATTTTGCATTTGACTTGTATAATCCACCACTGCTGAGAGAAACAATTACGAATGCCTCCTGCATGTTCTATATTATCTCTAACAGAGATGGTGCAATTTAAAAAATACAAAAAGGCATAGAATTAGAATGGATACGTCTGTGCATATGTGTGTTGTGTGTAAGCCTAAGTATTTATGTTTAAATATATTTAAAGCTCCTCAGAATGTTTCACTCTGAGTGAAATAATGGGCCAATCTTGGGTAGAGGCATTTTCTTTGGTTAGCTTCACAGTGACAGCTGGAATTTGTTATTTTGTCACCTATTTTGAAACATGTATGTAATCAGGTTTTGCTTCTGGTAATGAATTGTTCAAAAATGTAAGATTTTTTTGTAGGTTGAATGTTTTTGACCCTCAGGTTTACCATGTAAATCTGCATTTTGGTGGTGAACCCCTTTGCCTGAGATTTGGTGGTTTTTGGTAAACTTCACTGTTTTAAAGTACCTTTTGTGTAAAATATAGATGCAATTTTTATAACAAATGGCAAATAAAAACAGTCTAAATGTTGGAAGAAGTTGACTGTACCGATTTGTCCCTGTGCAGTTGTGCTATAATTCACCAGATGATCGATTTTAGGTTTATGTGTGGATCTCATAACAAGAGTAGGAGTTTTCAAAATATGCTACAACGATCACAAAATAACAAGCCCCTCGAAAAGAGCTGGACCGATCCTAGAATATGCTGGGGCAGGGGGCGGGGAGGGGCGAGATCTGTCCCACCTCTAAGTAGGTCCACCTTTCCAATGGTGCTCATCCTTGGGGACTGATGTTCACAAATCGACCCAGCTCTCTCCCTCTCCTGTTGGCTCTTGTTTCTCCATTTACTGTTAGTTTAGCACTAATGCTAAATATGGACTAGATAAATAAAAAGTAAGAACTGCAAGACAAAATTTTGAGAAGGTTGAGTAAAAGGGAAAAATGGAATTATTGGGCAAAGTAAGCACATGATAGTTTGGCCTTCTGGGTAGAAGACTTCGCTCTCCGTCTCCCTCTCAAGCTCATTCCCCCACCCCACCCTACCCCACCCCCCACACACACTTTCAGGAGCACGTTAGAAAGCTGATCAAAGACTTTTCTCTACTGGAAGACACAACTCGACATATACGGAACCAGATTATAAAGGAAAGTGATCTGCTGACACCGGCTGGCCGTGTTTTTTTCCCTGGAAATGCGGTACTTCAGGAAAGGCATGTACCCACCTCGAAGCGTCTGAGCAATGGGAGACACTGAGGAAAGGAAACCAGTGTCTGACCTAAGATGTCAGCAGCCATTCAGGGACTGGCAGGGACCTCGGGACGCTGGGGACACAGCCTCCGGAGCAGTGACCGAGAGCCCCGAGCACATGCAGAAGCGTGGCTTCATTCTTCCGCATTCCCTTCTACGCTGCAACATGGCTTTTCCCGACTGTGGACTGTGACTGCAGTGAGGGCCTGCCAGCAGGGGAGGGCATGCTCCCCTACTCCTGGGGATTCTCTAAAAGCCCGTGCCTAGCTGCAGAATCTGTCCCCCTCCTCTCTGAGCTCTACAGAAAAGCAGTTGATCAAAAGCAAAGAGTCACACCTTGAACTCAAGCCCTATATTTACAGAAGAAGAAAGATCTGTATGCCAAAGAAGGATCAGAAAAAAAAAAAAAAGTCAGTTTATAAAATGCATGGTCTTTTTTAAATTACAAGTCTCTCCTCATCCTATGTTGGCTCCTCATCCTCTGGACTAGAATTATAAGTCCTGCCTCCCAAATACCAATGATTCTATAGAACTGCCTGTGTGCTACTCGGAAGCTTTTCAAATTATTTCTTATAAATACCTTAAATTGTGTATGCCTCTTTACACGTGCCTATTGTTTGTTCGGTGAGGGCTTGTCACACACCATTTTTTACTCTCTGCCTCCCTCTGCCGCTGAGATGAGAATAAATCAAATAGAAGGTGACCAGCTTCGACTTCTCCCCCTTTATTCCGTTTCTCCTTGCCTTGCCTTTATCAAATGCAGCCCCTGAGGTAAGATCTTGACAATTCAGTGGCCCGTCCTTAATCTCAGTGACTTCATCTCAAATGAGATGCACTCAGAAAGCCTCATGCAGTGCCTGGCACCAGGACCAGACCAGACATGTGGGTGCCCAAGGCAGGTAAGAATTTGGCACCTAAAAAACCTGCTTTGACTATTTATTCAATATGCATTTGGCAGAGATAGGGGAATTGGTCTTCTATTAGTAAAAATCATGAACTTTCGGGGCACCTGGATGGCTCAGTTGGTTGAACGCTCAACTCTTGATTTCGGCTCAGGTCATGATCTCAGGGTTGTGAGATCGAGCCCCATGTCAAGCTCCAAGCTCAGCACAGAGCCTGCTTGTCCCTCTGCCTCTGTTCCTCCCCTCATTCTCTCTCTCTCTCTCAAATAAGTAAATAAATAACATCTTTAAAAATAAAAAAATATCATGAACTTTTGTGTCACCTGTCTAATTAGTCCCTTCTTCCAAGACAAAACTCTGAAGAGTAGAGACAGCTGCGGGCAGGGGTTGTAGGGCCAGTGAGAGTTCTCACAGCTCATAGAATTTCTGTCAGTCACCCCCAGTAGAGAATCTCCCAGGCCTCATGAGCAGGCCTGTCAGCTGCTGGGGCTCACCTCCCTTTTTTCCCTTGGAAGGACTGAAGTACCTCACTCTCCTGGCCCCCACCGTCTGCCTTTCCAGATCACTCTCCCTCGCTTTCCCTCAACCCCTCCTCTGGTTGTGCTATTTAGTATTTTCCTAATTACACACTCCAAGCTTATATATCCTCACCCATTACTAAATGCCATCTTTGATAGTAATAAGTCATAGTAAGAATGATGTTTTAGCTTGTACTCACCAAAATAAATGTCTTTCTCTTATCAAGATTCTCCCTTCCTAGAAGGTGGTTTCTCGTCAGAATTTCGAATTCCAAATAAGAGACTTCTTCAATGTACTAAATGGGAGTAGGACCAATTTGCATTCCTTAGGCTGGCAACCTCAAGAATTGCATATGGAAACAATTGCAAATGAGTTAACTGGTCTCCTAATTCCAATTATTTCATTGATACTGTGTTCTGTGTAAATTAGTACCCAAGGCAAATGTTTAAACCCCAGGAGGACCAAATGCCACCTATGTGAGAGGAGTTTCCTTCTAGTCTTTGCCTGAACTGGGTTTGAATTCACATCCTTGTCTTAGGGTCTCTCTCGTGCTTCCCAGAGAAATTACTTAGATCGTTGTGGGGAGAAGAGAACAGTCTGTCGCCCTTTTCATAATAGACAGAGCCAGTCTCCAGCAATTGCTCTGTGAAAAGGGAAAGCCTGAAGAAGTAGCCAAGTGAAGGAGAATTGATTCTGTCTGCTTTAAGAGATTTGGGGAAATTTTACCGGGCTTGTGATCCCTGGGCAGAACAATACATCATGAACCACATTAATGATTTCAAATTGAGAAAAGCTAAAAATCGAATCATTTTGTCTATGCTCCTTCAGCTTGGTGTCCATCCCCGAAGGGGAAATAGCATAATGGAATAGAACAATAATGTTATTTAGCACATGCTATGTGCCAGGTGGCAGGTTGTTTATGTGTGCTAGCTCAATCCATCCAACAGCCTTATTTGGTGTGTTATTCCTATTATACAGATGAGAAAACAAACTAGGAAATTGTAACAGTTTCCAAGGTCTCATGACTGTTCAGAAGAGGAATCCTATTCAACCTACAGGCCTGCAAAGCCTGTTTCTACAGAGGTGTAGGTAAAGAACACAACTCAGCACTACCTCCTCTCTCCCCCCACCCTGGGGTGTGAAGACTCACAGGTGGTTCTCTGGTTTTCAGGGCTCACTGCCCTCTTCCCTTCCCTTTAAGCCCCATGCTTCCTCCTCCATATCTGCCCTAGTTTGTCTTCTCTGAGCCAATGAATCACTTCCTGTCCATTTTATTTGCTCCCTCTTTCCCAAATGTAATTCTAGAATTCTAGAACTTTCCAGCTGGAAGGAACCATGTAGACTTTTCTGAAGAGGAAGACCTAACTGGCTTGTTTGAGATCACAGACCCACTATCTGAGGGAGCTGCCACCTATCTGCTTGTCCCCCTGGTGAGTACTCTTTGTGCTCTCCTAGGGTGGTTCTCAGAAGTCCAGAAAATCTATATTTAACCAAAGAGTGGAAGAGCTGAGATCAGCACCCAGGCCTCCTCCCTAACTCCAGTCCTGTGCATTCCCTAACAAGCTGCATTCATTTGAGCTGCGTCCTGCATCTTGATAACAACCCCTCCTTTGCACAGTGCATTACTGGGCACAAAGCAGTTCCTGTCCCCAATTCACCTACAAGAAAACTAGGCTTTGAAAGAGACATCTTCGATGGTTACCATATTGAGCATCTGCCATAGATATAACATTGTTAATGCTTAAAACATACTAAGGTAGGCATTATCTCCATCTTCTAGAAAAAGAAATAGGTCCAGGCAAGTTAAATGACATGTTAGGTCATATAAGAGATTGCATAGTATGTGGTACAGGCAGGTTTTGAACCGGGGACTCTGTAGCACCAAATCTCCACTTTTTGTATAGTGCACACTGTCAAGGTCATGTGGCAAGCAAGGGATGGAGTGATGAGTACAGCTGAGGTTTTCGGCATCTAATACTCTCCTTTATGATGTACAGGCTCTGAATATTCTGGAAAAAGATTGATACACACACACATACACACACATATGCACAGTTTTAAATACCCTTTAGTGTAAATATAAAATTTCATCCAAAGGGCTAATGTATTTTTAAATGTGGTTATTTTGAAAAATGCAGTTTTTATTTAAATGTCCTAACCTAAACTCTGAGCACGTTTGCTATCATGAGAAGAATGGAATGCCATTCTGAATTTTGAGTCCTGTGGGAGATGTTCGATAAAGACCCTCATCCCATTAAAAGGAGTGGTTAACATTTTGGTTTTTGTTTCAAGGTGAGGATGAGGCTTGCCGTCAGTTTGGGTTTCACTACAGAATTGCAGTTTAACACCCTGAGAGTCCTGATTTATTATAGGGAAATACTGGCAGACATTTTAGACTTGCAAAATGACTACCAATCCCAGTTCAGGCTAAATTCGTTCTAAATGCGTTCTGCTGATTTAGACATTTGGAGGAGCGGGTTATGCTGTCCTTATTGAATTCATGCCATGCTCCAGCTAAGAAGCTGTGTTTCTCACCCCAAGCTGATGGTGCGTCCCTCCCTGGTTTTGCCTTTTGGCTGAACACACTGCTAAGCATGGAAAAAGCCGTAAGTCAAGTGAAGAGCCCACTCCTTGAAGCACTGAATCCCTTGGCATTTGCCTTTGGCGTCTTCAAAACCCGTGCCTTTCAAGGCTAGTGGCACGTCAGGTCAGCTGTCTCCAGGGTCCATGCACCCAGTGGGACGGCAGCTCTTGGATGTTGCCTGTCCCCCGCCCGCCACTGAGCTCTGCTGAGGAAGGGAAGATTATTTACCAAGCGACTTTGTGCAATCACATTGGTTGTTTTTATCTTCTTCTGGAAGATGAAC